CAAAGGTGCGGACTCCGACCGCACAAACCTTACATAACAGGGTAGGGTCCGGGTGGGCATTCCGCCTCGGAGGCGGATCCGGCTCCCCGTTGCGCACCTGGTCTGGTCTGGACCTCGGCGCGCTGCTTCCCCTCTCCTTCCTCCCACGATGTACCAAGCCCTGTCTGGACCCTGGTGTGGGAGACCCCGAACCTGGAGAGGGGCTGACGTCTGGGTCTGGACTGGAGCCGCTGACCGGAGCTGGACTGAGCACCGGTGGAGCGGACTGCTCTGGCTCCGGAGTAGAGCTGCTGACCGGAGCTGGAATGGGCACCGGTGGAGCGGACTGCTCTGGCTCCGGAGTGGAGTCGCTGACCGGAGCTGGACTGGACCCCGGTGGAGCGGACTGCTCTGGCTCCGGAGTGGAGCAGCTGGCCGGAACTGGACTGGACCCCGGTGAAGCGGACTGCTCTGGCTCCGGAGTGGAGCAGCTGAACGGTGCCAAACCAGGCACCGGTGAAACGGGCACGGGCCGTGCCGGACTGGACACACGCACCACTGGTCTGGTGCGAGGAGCAGGCACGGGCCGGACCGGACTAGGAACACGCACCACTGGCTTGGTGCGAGGAGCAGGAACGGGCCGAGCCGGACTGGCGACACGCACCACTGGTTTGGTGCAGGGAGCAGGCACGGGCCGTACCGGACTGGGAACACGCACCACTGGCTTTGTGCGAGGAACCGGAATGGGCCGGGCCGGACTAGGAACACGCACCACTAGTCTGGTGCGAGGAGCAGGTACGGGCCGGGCCGGACTGGGAACACGCACCACTGTCTTGGTGCGGGGAGCAGGAACGGGCCGGGCCGGACTGGGAACACGCACCACTGGCTTAGTGCGGGGAGCAGGAACGGGCCGGGCCGGACTGGGAACACGCACCACTAGTCTGGTGCGAGGAGCAGGCACGGGCCGTACCGGACTGGGAACACGCACCACTGGCTTGGTGCGAGGAGCAGGCATGGGCCGTACCGGACTGGGAACACGCACCACTGTGTTGGTGCGAGGAGCAGGAACGGGCCGGGCCGGGCCGGACTGGCGACACGCACCACTGGTTGGTGCGGGGAGCAGGCACGGGCTGTACCGGACTGTGGAGGCGGACTGGAGGTCTGGAGCGGAGAGCTGGCACAACCCGTCCTGGCTGGATGCCCACTTTTGCACGGCATGTGTGTGGTGCTAGCACAGGACGCACTGGACTGTGCCGGCTCACTGGCGACACAGTGCGTAGCTCCGCATAACACGGAGCCTGCACGGTCACACGCTTCCTAGCGTGAGAACGGGGAGTTTGCTCTGCTCTGAACCCAGGCTCCGCCAACCACCCCGTGTGCCCCCCCAAAAATGTTCTTGGGGCTGCTTCTCAGGCTTTCGTCGTGACCGCGTCCTCTTGGGTCGCCGTTTCTCCTCTCCTGCCTGGGCTTCCTCCTTTGCCCAGGGTCCTCTACCGGCTACTCTCTCCTTCTCCACCCTCATCCCTTTCAGGGCCTCCATCTGCTTGGCCAGATCCTCTCTTATCTCCCCCCATGTCCATGATCTCTGCTCCACTACCTGTGTCCAGGGTGTCTGCTGCTCCTGGGCACGCTGCTTGGTCCGTGTTTGGTGGGATCTTCTGTCACATTCGCTTAAGGACGGGTCAGACCAAGGCGCAGCGTGAAAGGCATACATGTTTATTTCACCGATAAACACACGAACAAAACAACAAACCAACGAAACGTGAAGTCCTAAGGCTAAACACAATACAAGCCTCTAACACAGATCAAGATCCCACAACTAATGATTGTAAACAGGCTGCCTAAGTATGATCCTCAATCAGAGACAACGAGCGACAGCTGTCTCTGATTGGGAATCACACCCTGCCAAACATAGAAATACAACACCTAGACTGAGAACATAGAAAATACAACATAGAACTCCACACCCTGACTCAACATACTAGAGTTTCATACGTCAGGGTGTGACAGTTCCTTGTTGGAGTACATTTTTTGGATAAAGATGTTTATTTGGGAAACCCTTTTGAAGTCAGAGGATGGTGAAGAAGGCATTGGGAAATGTGGATGCAGTCAAAGTAACCAGGAGTGGTATGGTGTTGATATCATAGTAACCAGGAGTGGTATGGTGTTGATATCATAGTAACCAGGAGTGGTATGGTGTTGATATCATAGTAACCAGGAGTGGTATGGTGTTGATATCATAGTAACCAGGAGTGGTATGGTGTTGATATCATAGTAACCAGGAGTGGTATGGTGTTGATATCATAGTAACCAGGAGTGGTATGGTGTTGATATCATAGTAACCAGGAGTGGTATGGTGTTGATATGGTGTGTATCTAAAGAGCAAAAGGAATGTGCATTGTGGCTTGCGAAAATATCGACGCATGAAGTGAACAGCTTTGGTTTTCGGAGCAGGAAACCAGTAAAAGGTGTTATTTCTGGCGTTGATAATCAATATCTTAGGCTAAAAATTCCAGGAGTAGTTAATGCATGTCGCTTGACCCATATGGAGAATGGGAAAAAGGAGCAAAGTTTATCTGTATTATTGATGTTTGATGAGTATTTACCACCCTATGTAAAGTTGGGATATAAGATAGGCTGTAAGAGCATTCGTGCAAAACCCGAAGCAATAGAAAAAGTGTAAAACGTTTGGCCATGTGTCAAGTGTTTGCAGATGGAAGGAATATGTTATTGAAGAGTCTGTGAATGTAAAATGTTTCAACTGTGGCGGGGATCATATTTCCAAATACCCTGAGTGTTCTGTTAGGGTGAAAGAGGTTGAGGTGTCAAGGATCAGGGCTGTACAGCAAATCTCCTATGTGGAGGCGGTGAAGAGCATTGAAGTTCTTCAGAAGATATGGTGGTTTATGCAACACAACCAGTTGCAAATGTTATACTTCAATCAAGTAATCTGGATACACTTATTGTGAAAAAGGTGTATTTTGTAGCATTTATAGCCACAGTTATTAATTGTACTGCACAAGTGTCTAAGAAGCTGGACATCATTATATCTGCAGCCGAGTGGTTATCCCACTGGCTATGTGGTTATCCCACTGGCTATGTGGTTATCCCACTGGCTATGTGGTTATCCCACTGGCTATGTGGTTATCCCACTGGCTATGTGGTTATCCCACTGGCTATGTGGTTATCCCACTGGCTATAAGGTGAATGCACCAATTTGTAAGTCGCTCTGGATAAGAGCGTCTGCTAAATGACGTAAATGTAAATGTAAATGAGAAGACTTAACAGCAGAAGCACTGCAAGGACTACTGTCGCCAGGAAATGTCCCGCCATCACAGGATCCTTCTGAGCCTGTGTAGGGACCTGATTAATTTAGTTTAATTAACATTTCGTTACTGATAGTTTGTATGGATTTTTTAAAATATATGTATTTATTTATTTTTTACCCCACATTTTTTTCCTTTTTGGATCCTTATTATCCACATGTACAGTAGGTGGCGGAATACACATAATTGTTGCGAACACTATTATACCAAAGAAGAAGATCTCTTCAACTACAGTTTCTCTGTGGGACCATGAAAGTCTGTTTGGTTAGAGAGAACACTTTGCATTGCCAGCACATGTTTCAGAGGTCTGGGAGTGTTTATATCCCTGTGAGTTGAACACTTCATGACTGAGAGCTGTCCTTCATGACAACAGAACCCACAACAACCATGACTTTTATCACCATCCTCATCTGGACACTTGCCCTCTGCTTTCAGGAAAAAGATTTTGAGCTCAGACATTACACACATCTCCGTAACCATAGAATTAGGAATTAGAATGTGATGTCAGTAACTGTCAATGCCTATATTTAGTAATACCCATATTTTATGTCATCTATTAAATGGTGGTTTATTCATTGTAAGAAAGTCCCCCTCCCTGAATCCACTATAGAGGTTAAAGTAAAACCAGTCCACTCCCTCACATCTGGCCCAGTCCAGGGTATTTCAGGCAGTGAAACTGTTCAACTGCTAGACTGGTATCTGTGGGAGTGAAACTGAAATTTACATAGACAAGGCTGGGTGGTTCTGCTTGTCCCAGAATAGAGCAGCACTGTCACCAGATGTTCACTCAGTCCCCAGGGGGTTGGAGGTAGAGAAGACTGTCACTACACTATATAACAGCGTTTCCCAAACTCGGTCCTCGGGACCCCAAATGTTGCACGTTTTGGTTTTTGCTCTAGCACTACACACCTGATTCAAATAATCAACTAATCATCAAGTTATGATAATTTGAATCAGCTGTGTAGTGTTAGGACAAAAAACTAAATGTGCACCCCTTGAGGACCGAGTATGGGAAACGCTGCTATACCTTGAAGTAGTGCCACTTGTAATATTTGTAAAAAGATTTTTTTTTTTTAGCTTCAAATCAAAGCCTATAACACACGTGAGAGTCCAAGATATCGGTTGACTGTTTGATAGTTCTTATTTTATTACTATAAAGTCTGTCAAGTCAAACACATCTGACACAGACTCAGTATCCTGATGAATGAAGACAGTCAACTACTACCATGGCAGAACCTCTTCTATTATATCATATTATATTGTGATAGTATTAAATACTGGTCAATTATGATGTTAGAGTGAGTTTTAGACTTGACAGTTTTTAAAGACATCATTAATCAGCCTTACTGAATACATATTTTTCCAGAATATTGCAAATATACAGTATCTATGATCCAGTTTATTAATAAAAACAACAGAAATATACATTCCAAAAAGAAATCTTTATTTTAATCCATTATCACACAATCGAAGCATCAAAACAAACATGATAGTGAATAAAAGCAGATCACATCAAATCTAAAACTAACAAAATCTCAATCTACAGAATGGATTGACACATGAACTCAAGCCAAGCCCCCTGTTAGTCTACACCAGAGTGATCACTATATTGAAGAGCGACTGATTTTAGAACAAAGCAAGTCAAAGCAGAGGAACCAGTATCCTCTCTCCACAGGGGTGTGTGACTGAGGGGTCCTACCCAGAACAGTCAGCCCTCCTCAGGGTCTTGGTGACTGGAATCTGGGATTTCTGCTGGGCTTCACAGGTCACCTCTCCTGCCTTGGTCCACTCCTGGGCAGTGAGAGTCAGTGTGCTGCTCCAGCTGTACAGGCCGTCCTTCTCCTGGACCCCGGGACTGGCCTCCTGCTTCTTGCTGGTCCCGTCCACTTTCCAGCTCATGGTCCAGTCTGAGGGGAAGCCCTTGTTGGCCAGACACATCAGTGTGGCTGTTGTTGTACTGGACAGCTCCTCACTAGAGGGGGGCAGGACGGTGAGGGTGGGGACTCTGTTACCTGGAACAAACAGAACACATCAACTAAGTAACTACAACAAGTACAGTTACAGTAAGAGATCATCTTCAGCAAAGGACACATCAAAATAAAGTGAATTGGAAATGCCTTCTAAATATGAATGTAAAAGTTAGATTGGTAAAAGATGTGGATAAACACAAACTGTAATATGATAAAGCAGATTAATGAACCGAACAAGTATTAAATAAGTAGAGTTACAAGTCATACAGCGTCAGTTATACATGTCATACAGATATTATTTAGGAATGGATCTGGTCAGAATAGCCTTGCCATATTCATAGTATTTGCAGAATTTGAGCATAGATTGGTTTTAATCACATATCAACCATGTTAGTTCATGAAGTTGGTTACAAACATAACTGAGACCCTTTCTCTTCACACTAACAGTGAAGGCTACCATGAACTCAATGCAACAATAATGAATACTATATCCAATACTATTAAATAGTCATCATACCAGAATTAAGAGTTATAGTCTGCAATCATACAAATCAGACATACAAATAAACCTGCAATTTAACATTTTTATTAAATAAAATGTTATTTGAAAGAAGGCTCAGTAATAAGCTATTAAAATATTTTGAAAATCTAAAATCATAATATTTTCATAGAGACAGAGTGTAAGAATAACATACTTAATAAGTGTAATCAGAAAGAAATATCAAGAGAGCTTGTTACTTACTTCCAACATCTAGTCTGGTGCCGCTACCAAAAGTGACCCACAGTGATACAATCCCTATTACTGCTCGTACAAAAACCTCCTGAACATTGGCCAAGCTGAATTTCTTTGGACTGTGGTTTAAATAATTGACTCTAATATGGTATGAATACTTGCCAAAGATGATTTTATCTTGTTCATTTGAAATAAAGTATTTTTTGTTTTTTTTACCCCCAAAATTGCAAAACCTGTTTATTGAACATTTCCTACAAGGTACAGTATGTTTATTCATACACCTAATCAAATGTAGGCTAATCACTCTCGTCGTTTAAAGGCAGGTCAAATTTAATTAGATGTAATGACATACTAATTAAAATTGGCCATATTATGTGTAGGCTTTGTATTATTCCCCCCAAAATCATGTAAAAAAAAGTATGTTAAAAAATTCTCAATATCGAGGCTAGATTTATAGAGATATTGAAACACAACATCAAAAGCTGAATAAAACAATTAATTTGGTTGTTTACTTACTTCCAACATCAAGTTTGGTGCCGCTACCAAAAGTCCACCACAGTGATACAATCTCTATTACTGCTGGTACAAAAACCTCTCTGTGTTGTGATGCTGCAGCTGTTACAGTGAAGATCACTCATACAGAATCATAATCAACACAAATACACTTTAACATCTTCCAGGTAAAACAAACACTTTATATAAGCTGTTTCTAGATAATACAAATATGTATTGTATCTTCAATCCAGATATTAGTATTTCTTCCTTCTTCTGTGTATCAGGTGTTCTCCTAGTCTGAAGGTACAGTCCAGCATTAGATCCAGTGTTGCTAGTATTCCTCCATATTGTCCATATGAAAGACAACAGCAGCAGCAGTACTGATAGTGATCCATGTTGTATATTCCTTTATTAAAGATGTTGATCTCAGATTTAACAGTGGTGGTAAAGTCACAGAGGACAGACAACACTACCAGAGGAATCCTACCAGCTTTAGTTTAGAGAAGTGTTCACTAACTGATTAGAGGAACTTACATAAGAGACCAAGCATGAGTGAACAGAGAGTTCATTATATCTGATCATCATCAGAATAAAAATAAATGGTGGTATCACATAAAAGTTGCCATACATTAGTTATTTGAGTAAAAATGTGCTGTTTGGTGTTATTAAAGGGAAGGCAGGTAGCTAGCGGTTAGAGTGTTGGCGTAGTAACCAAAAGGTTGCTAGTTCAGATCCACAGGCCGACACTGTGAAACATCTGTCGATGTGCCCTTTAGCAAGACACTTAACCCTAATTGCTCCAGGGTCGCGTTTATAATGGCAGATGCTGGCCGTGACCCCACTCTCCGAGGATGTCTCAGGGGGAGTTGTGATATCCCCCCCAAAAAACTTGTCCAATTCCCGTATAATACACATGTGTGTAATACGACAAATATATGCACCCACCTAATTACTATTATTAGAAAAGCAAGCTCATGCAGGACAAAATATATTCTAACGATGGGAGCCTACTTGGAAACTGAAATAGATTTGAAACTCTCATTTGCATAATGCATCTGCCCCACTGCTCTAATAGTGTTTATAGCCTGTAAGTTTAACACTTCATGACTGAGAGCTGTCCTTCATGACAACAGAACCCACAACAACCATGACTTTTATCACCATCTTCATCTGGACACTTGCTTTCTGCTTTCAAGGTTACACTTTTCAGAATTTACTGTTGAAAATATATTAAATCTACACCATTGAAATGTATATCAATGTTAATATTTCTATTCAGAACTATTGATTACTATATGTAATATTTTATTCATATAATATTTTTAATTCTATTTTTCAGAATCCAGAGGACAGATCACTGTGACTCAGACTCCTGCAGTGCACGCTGTTCTCCCAGAACAGACAGTCATTATTGACTGTAAAACCAGCAGCGATGTGGTTGGTAATAACTACCTAGCCTGGTATCAACAGAAACCTGGAGGAGCTCCTAAACTCCTTATTTACCAAGCTACAACACTTCAGTCTGGGACTCCATCTAGATTCAGTGGTAGTGGAACTCATAGTGACTTCACTCTGACCATCAGTGGAGTCCAGGCTGAAGATGCAGGATATTACTACTGTCAGAGTTTACACACCCCCAACAGTGTCTGGGTGTTCACACAGTGGTACAGAGCCGTACAAAAACCTCCCTCAGTCAGACTGCACAGTGACTGTACTACTACAGCTGGGACCTACTGTAGGTGCTGAGGGGAGGAGACAGTGACATGGAACACTGACTGAACTAAAATACACTGAGCTAAATATATCAGTGATGCTGACAATAATGTCAATTTATCCACCTTTATGTTAAAGCATTCCTGAACAACCATAGTTCCAGACTACATACATTTCTTTCCCTTTTGCTATGGCAAACATTTCAGATAATAAGTTGAATGGACTCCATCTATGTGAAATAATGTCTCACATTATTTCAGAGTTAATATTCCAGTCTCTGCAAGGTCCGCCAGTCAGGTAGTAAGTTTCAAGCAAAGATTAACCATATTCACTGAGATTATATAACATGAGGTTCTGTCATACAAGAGACAGTGACACGGAAGACTGGTTAGTGAAGTCAACTTTGAATATGTTTAGAAAGCATCATTCAAATCACATGTTCCCCATCATCATCATTATTGTAGTGCACCTACAAAAGTTATTTGAAGTTCTGAAATACCCACAATACCAGTCCAATATGCAAAATAAAATGTACAGAAGTAAAGAAAAAGAAGGTGATGTTACATCAGCATCAGAACAACTAGATACAATCCCCATAATGCACCTCACAACCAAATATTGATGTGATCATCTGGCATTATACTGACTATTTTGATGAGCAGGTTACTGACTGTTACATCTGTGGATAAGACATGATGCTGGGTTCAGGCATTAGACATATCTACATTATGTATAATATCAATTTTATCAGTCATAGATTACATGGTGGAATATCTGTTATTGTACCCTCCCTGAATCCACCATAGAGGTTAAAACCAGTCCCCTCCCTCACATCTGGCCAAGTCCAGGGTATTTCAGGCAGTGAAACTGTCCAACTACTAGACTGGTATCTGTGGGAGTGAAACTGAGATTTCCATAGACAGGGCTGGGTGGTTCTGCTTGTCCCAGAATAGAGCAGCACTGTCACCAGATATTCGCTCTGTTCCCAGGGGGTTGGAGGTACAGAAGACCAGGGGAAATATAATGGAGAAGGGTAGACTACGCAATGTTGAAAACCATTGCTAAAACATCAATATAATAAAATCATATTAGGAATTAAACATTATAAATACAGTGCATTGGGAAAGTATTCAGACCCCTTGAGTTTTTCCACATTTTGTTACGTTAAAACCTTATTCTAAAATTTATTACATTGTTTTTTTGTCCCAATCTACACACAATACCCCATAATGACAAAGCAAAAACTGATTTTTATACATTTTTGCAAATGTATATAAAACAAAACAAAGTAATACATTTACATAAGTATTCAGACTCTTTACTTTGTTGAAGCACCTTTAGCAGCGATTACAGCTTCGAGTCTTCTTGTGTATGATCACCCTGATGACCACCCTGATTGGTGGAGTGCTGCAGAGATGGTAGTCATCCTGTAAGGTTCTCCCATCTCCACAGAGAAGCTCTGGAGCTCTGTCAGAGTGACCATCAGGTTCTTGGTCACCTCCCTGACCAAGGCCCTTCTCCCCCAATTGCTCAGTTTGGCTGGGCAGCCTGCTCTAGGAAGAGTCTTGCTGGTCCAAACTTCTTCCATTTAAGAATGATGGAGGCCACTGTGTTCTTGGGGACCTTCAATGCTGCAGAAATGTTTTAGTACCCTTCCCCAGATCTGTGCCTCGACAATTCCTTCGACCTCATGGTTTTTGCTCTGACATGCACTGTCAACTGTAGGACCTTATATAGACAGGTGTGTGCCTTTCCAAATCATGTCCTACAATTGAATTTACCACAGGTGGACTCCTATGAAGTTGTAGAAACATCTCAAGGATGGTCAATTGAAACAGGATGCACCTGAGCTCAATGTCAAGTCTCAGAGCAACGGGTCTGAATACTTATTTAAATAAGGTATTTCTGTGTTTTATTTTTTATAAATTTGCAAACATTTCTAAAAACCTGTTTTCGCTTTGTCGTTATGGGGTAATATTAGAATAAGCAGTAACGTAACAAAATGTGGAAAAAGCACTACTGGGTGATCTGAAAAGTCATAGTCAATCGATCAATAATATAAAAATACTTTTGGCAAAAATGTTTATTTTCAAACAATGAGAATAGAAGGGTTCAGAACTTTTGTGAAACATCACAGTACAGTTGAAAAATATATGGCAAATAGAAATCCAATATGGATGGTGTTAAGAGATAGATGGGAGGTGTTGAATGGAGCTGAAAGATGGGACTAATAACAACTAACAACAACTAATATCAACAAGATAACTAATGTAAAGCATACTGTGTCCATAATAAGTATATAGGTTATAGGTTGAGTGCTTTTGTGAAAGAGCACAGTTAGAAAGATATGTCATATAGAAGCGAACCGGATGGACATCATGAAAATGATCGGAGAGGTTGAGGGTAGAGGAAGTTCAGGAGTAAAAACAAACAAAATAGAATTATTGTAAAATTGACTGTGTCCATAAAATGTATATAGTATGTATAAGTTGGAAGTAGAGGCCTAAGCGTTGTTGTTCACTAGTTTTCTCCAATTAGGGAAGGGGTGGTGGGGTTGGAAAGTAATAAAGGGAAATGTATTTTTAAAAAGGATATGTATATAAATACAGTGGGGAAAGAAAGTATTTAGTCAGCCACCAATTGTGCAAGTTCTCCCACTTAAAAAGATGAGAGAGGCCTGTAATTTTCATCATAGGTACACGTCAACGATGACAGACAAAATGAGAAAAAAAATCCAGAAAATCACATTGTAGGATTTTTAATGAATTTATTTGCAAATTATGGTGGAAAATAAGTATTTGGTCAATAACAAAAGTTTCTCAATACTTTGTTATATACCCTTTGTTGGCAATGACACATGTCAAACGTTTTCTATAAGTCTTTACAAGGTTTTCACACACTGTTGCTAGTATTTTGGCCCATTCCTCCATGCAGATCTCCTCTAGAGCAGTGATGTTTTGGGGCTGTCGCTGGGCAACACAGACTTTCAACTCCCTCCAAAGATTTTCTATGGGGTTGAGATCTGGAGACTGGCTAGGCCACTCCAGGACCTTGAAATGCTTCTTACGAAGCCACTCCTTCGTTGCCCGGGCGGTGTGTTTGGGATCATTGTCATGCTGAAAGACCCAGCCACGTTTCATCTTCAATGCCCTTGCTGATGGAAGGAGGTTTTCACTCAAAATCTCACGATATATGGCCCCATTCATTCTTTCCTTTACACGGATCAGTCGTCCTGGTCCCTTTGCAGAAAAACAGCCCCAAAGCATGATGTTTTCACCCCCATGCTTCACAGTAGGTATGGTGTTCTTTGGATGCAACTCAGCATTCTTTGTCCTCCAAACACGACGAGTTGAGTTTTTACCAAAAAGTTATATTTTGGTTTCATCTGACCATATGACATTCTCCCAATCCTCTTCTGGATCATCCAAATGCACTCTAGCAAACTTCAGATGGGCCTGGACATGTACTGGCTTAAGCAGGGGGACACGTCTCGCACTGCAGGGTTTGAGTCCCTGGTGGCGTAGTGTGTTACTGATGGTAGGCTTTGTTACTTTGGTCCCAGCTCTCTGCAGGTCATTCACTAGGTCCCCCCGTGTGGTTCTGGGATTTTTGCTCACCGTTCTTGTGATCATTTTGACCCCACGGGGTGAGATCTTGCGTGGAGCCCCAGATCGAGGGAGATTATCAGTGGTCTTGTATGTCTTCCATTTCCTAATAATTGCTCCCACAGTTGATTTCTTCAAACCAAGCTGCTTATCTATTGCAGATTCAGTCTTCCCAGCCTGGTGCAGGTCTACAATGTTGTTTCTGGTGTCCTTTGACAGCTCTTTGGTCTTGGCCATAGTGGAGTTTGGAGTGTGACTGTTTGAGGTTGTGGACAGGTGTCTTTTATACTGATAACAAGTTCAAACAGGTGCCATTAATACAGGTAACGAGTGGAGGACAGAGGAGCCTCTTAAAGAAAAAGTTGCAGGTCTGTGAGAGCCAGAAATCTTGCTTGTTTGTAGGTGACCAAATACTTATTTTCCACCATAATTTGCAAATCAATTCATTAAAAATCCTACAATGTGATTTTCTGGATTTTTTTTCTCTCAATTTGTCTGTCATAGTTGACGTGTACCTATGATGAAAATTACAGGCCTCTCTCATCTTTTTAAGTGGGAGAACTTGCACAATTGGTGGCTGACTAAATACTTTTTTTTTTTTTTCCCCCACTGTATGTATTTATATGTATTTATATGTATGTATGTGTATATGTATGTGTATGTATATATATATGTATATAAATTAGATATTTGCGAGAAAAAAAAAACATATGGGGGATTGGAAGTAATGCAGACAATTACATTGATTGAAGTTAAAATCTATCTGCAATATTAAAGCTGATCTACCCCATACATGTTTTTGAAATCCGAATACTTTCCGAACGCAATGTATATATGTTATTATAATTAAAGAAATATAAATAAAGAATTAAACATTATAAATATATATGTTATGGAAAGTAACAGTTTAGCAGTGTGAGTTCTGAGAGCAGATCTTAGAGGTTTATGATCAAATATCACTAATTATTATCACTGTTATTGGTGCTACAGTATAACAGGCTCATTCAGTTATAGAAATTATTGCAGAGTATTTGTTGTATCAGATGCCCTTTTAATTCTGTTTGAAAACATGAGAGTAGCTATATGCTACAATGCTGAAATTATAAAAGAAGCTGATTGATCTAAATTAGTATGAAATGTGCTGCCTTCATGAGACAGTGATCACTGGAATCCTGATTAAAGTAACTCTTGTGCTTATATTTAACTTAAAACAAGCTGTATTTGAACTCAGAGTCAAGAAGACATGTATAACATAATCTCAAAATACTTCATTTAGCATACAGCACTAATAATTTTATTCACTATTATACTGTAACATTCAGCTTTAAGAACACTAATGTTTCCAGAACTAGCACCACGTGGGGACTCTCTAGACCCCTACAATGGCTTCTCCTGCCCCTAGACAGTACATTGACTTCTCCGGAAGGTGACTGAACCACTGGTGTCGTCGTGGGTGACCCTGCAGGTGTACACCTCTCCCTCTTCCCAGAGTGCCTTACTCAGCTGTTGTCAAACACGTGAGTGGGAAAGTCAATGTATCTGATTATCAGCTGTTGTCAAACACTTGAGTTGTAAAAGACGAGTGAATTCTATTTGATCAAACGCAAAAATGAGTATGCAGTTTAAGTATATAGTAGGCTAATATGGGTATTCGGACATGGCCACTGTGTTATCAGTGACCAAAACCATTTCAGATCGACAGTAAACAGCATAAACAACTAGCTACAGTACAAAGAACAACCAAGCACAACCGAGAACAACCAAACACTTAATCTATGAAGAAATAGGCAAACAAAAAAGTCTGGCAAAACATGAAAGGTATATTCATACTTTACAGTTTAGCAATAAAACACTGGCGGTTTCCCAGACACAGGTTAAGCCTAATCCTAGACTAAAAAGCTTTTTCTTTAATGGCGATTCTCCATTGAGTTTACTTTTTATTCCAGGACCAGGCTTAATCTGTGTCTGGGAATACGCCCCTAAATCTAGAAAGACATGTATTGAACAGATACCATATGTAGTCTGGATACAGCATAATTTAATATTCACAATGTCAAATCTGACATGAAACGTCTATTAATTTATGTCTACTCTGAGATACAAGGCCAAAATGACTTCAAAATACTATTCAAAACTATAGATGAAGTTCACCTTTAAACCATGTCTGTGTTAACATGTACTATGAATACAATACAAACTGCTGCTTATATAATATAAATAGTAGTAGCTACATATTGACAGAACAATGAGTTGACCTGCAATACTGTATATCAAAATGTGTTCTTTTTATATCATATGTTAGAATATTTTTATTGCTACAAAAAGTTGGTGGTATGTGAACAATTCTCTCACTTCGGTGACTCTACAATTTACCAATCTACCAATCTGTCCACGGAAATCTCTAAAAAGATACAGCCTAAAAGTCTCAAAGTGTTGTTCAATATAATGATTACATTTAGTTTAATCAGAGAAGAAAGACATTAATGGACGTGCTTTATAGCACCAGTCTTGTGCCACTTCCAAAAGTCCTCCACAGTGATTCATTCTGGTGAAGTCTCCGTACAAAACCTCCTTCACACAAGAGTGAGAACCTTCACACAGAGAGCACTCTCAGTACCACCCTGATAGTACTGAAGTACTAGTATAATACAATAGGGACTGATAGTACTGAAGTGCTAGTATAATACAATAGGGACTGATATTACTGAAGTATTAGTATAATCAAATCAAATCAAGCTTTATTTATACAGCACATTTCAGACATGGAATGCAACAAAAAGTGCTTTACAGGAAGAAACGAATAAAAAACAATGAAAATAAAAGCTGAAATATTTACTACTCAACAAACATAATATTAAAAAAAATAATAATGACACAAACTGAACAACTAAAAAGAACCCAAAGAAAAGAAAAGCTAAAATATGTGTTTTAAGACCTCTTTTAAACATGTCCACAGTTTCGGCCTCCCTCAGGTTCTCTGGCAGGCTGTGGGCATAATAACTAAAGGCTGCCTCTCCATGCCTCTTGGTCCTAGGCTTTGGGATAGTTAAAAGGCCAGTGCCAGAGAACCTGAGGGACATACTGGGGCACAATCGTGGATTGATTTAAAAACCAATCTTAAAATGTATTCTAAAACTCACAGGCAGCCAGTGCAGAGACCTTAAAACCGTTGTAATGTGTGCTTTCCGTCTGGTCTTGGTCAGTACCCGTGCTGCAGCATTCTGTGTGTTTTGCAGTTGACCAATGGCTTTCCTCGGTAGACCAGACAGGAGAACATTACAGTACTCAAGCCTGCTCTGTATCAGCCTGAGAGAGAAACGGCCTCACCTTGGCAATGTTCCTCAGGTGGTAAAAAGCTATTTTGCTCACATTCTTAATGTTTGGTACGAAATTTAGTTCAAAATCTAAAATAGCACCTACGTTTTTTTTCCTGGTGTTTTATTTGTATTGCCCATGAATTAAAATGTGTGGCTAGATTCTCTCTCTGTGCTTTGGCTCCAACAATAAGTACCTCCGTCTTGTCTTGATTTAGCTGGAGGAAGTTGTGAGCCATCCAAGTATTTAAATAACTAATACAGTCTAATAATTTACCAGTGGAGCTAAAATCCTCTGGTGACACAGAAATGTAAAGTTGTGTATCGCTGCGCAGCAGTGAAAATCAATGCTGTGCTTTCTGATAACGCTTCCAAATGGTAACATATATAAACTGAACAGTACCGGACCCAAAATCGAACCTTGTAGAATGCCACCTGTGATATGCATTTTCTCTAAATTATGTTCACCAAGGGTGTCAAAAAACTCTCGACCGGTTAAATAGGTCCTACACAAATTTAGAACTGGACCGGAGAGGCCAACCCACCTCTCCAGTCTGTCCAGAAGGATACCATGGTCAACAGTACAATAGGGACTGATAGTACTGAAGTACTAGTATAATACAATAGGGACTGATAATACTGAAGTACTAGTATAATACAATAGGGACTGATGGTATGGTATTATTTTATGTATCATTAAGGCAAATGTAGGGAGAGGTCAAAGGTAAAATAATAATATTAGTAATAAACATGACTATGTTTAAATGAATGTATGTGCTCTGTCGCAGGGGCTCTCAAACTGTGGCCCATGGGCTTGTTATGGACACATGGTATGCATTACAGTAGTTCTTTTTTAAGAAGTGGCCTAGGCCACGCAGCCAATAGAATGATAGAATGAGAGGCTTCATATAGAAAAAAGCATTCATTGCCTTTTGGTGTGGACATTGTGTGACAGCTGGACGTTGAAAAAGAAGGGTGGTGTCACGATCGTCAGGGAGAGACCAAGGCGCAGCGTTGAATGCGTACATATTTATTAATAGAATGATCACACGATCAAAACAACGGACGATAACGTGATGTCTACGGTTTAACACAAACCAAATACGAACAAGAAACCACAAACACAAAGTGAAAGACAGACAGTTAAATATGGCTCCCAATCAGAGACAACCAGCTGACACTCGTTGCCTCTGATTGGGAGTCACTCAGGCCAACATAGATAGACAACGACTAGAACCTAAACAAAATAAACACCCTGGCTCAACATACGAGAGTCCCCAGAGCCAGGGCGTGACAGTACCCCCCCCCAAAGGCGCGGACTCCGACCGCGCCAACCAACCACAACAGGGGAGGGACCGGGTGGGCACTCCGCCTCGGCGGCGGATCCGGCTCCGGACATGACCCAGGCACGGGTTGTGCTGGACTGACGACGCGCACCCCTGGCTTGGTGCGTGGAGGAGGAATGGGCCTTACCAGGCTGACGACGCACACCGTAGGCTTGGTGCGTGGAGCAGGGACAGGCCGAGCCGGGCTGACGAAGCGCACCACTGCCTTGGTGCGGGGAGCAGGAATGGGCCGGACCGGGCTGACGAAACGCACCCCTGACTTGGTGCGGGGAGCAGGAATGGGCCGGACCGGGCTGACGACGCGCACCACTGGCTTGGTGCGGGCGTAGGAATGGGCCGGACCGGGCTGACGACGCGCACCACTGACTTGGTGCGGGGAGCAGGAATGGGCCGGGCCGGGCTGACGACGCGCACCACTGACTTGGTGCGGGGAGCAGGAACGGGCCGCGGCGGGCTGACGACGCGCACCACTGACTTGGTGCGGGGAGCAGGAATGGGCCGGACCGGGCTGACGACGCGCACCACTGACTTGTTGCGGGGAGCATGAATGGGCCGGACCGGGCTGACGACGCGCACCACTGACTTGGTGCGGGGAGCAGGAACGGGCCGCGCCGGGCTAATGGCGCGCACCACTGACTTGGTGCGGGGAGCAGGAATGGGCCGGACCGGGCTGACGACGCGCACCACTGACTTGGTGCGGGGAGCAGGAATGGGCCAGACCGGGCTGACGACGCGCACCACTGACTTGGTGCGGGGAGCAGGAACGGGCCGCGCCGGGCTGACGAAACGCACCACTGACTTGGTGGGAGTGGCAGGAACAGGCCGGACCGTACTGGGAACACACACCACTGGCCCTACGTGGGGATCAGGAACAGGCCGGACCGGACTGGCAACACACGCCAGTACCTCTCGCCGTGCCTCTACAACCTCCTTCCCCCTGGTGACCAGTGACTCCCGTAACCTGGCGGCCTCCTCTGCCAACCCGCTGGACCGCTCTATCGCGGCCTCCTGCTGCCCCGACGTCGTGAGCCCCCCCCTAAAAAAATTCTGGGGGTCTCTCCTCCCCGTGGGCCAGGCCTCCATCGTTCTCGCCCAACTCTCGCTCCTCTGTCTCCAACTACCGCCATTCAGCTCCTCAATGGGCTTGACCCAGTCGAAGCTCTTCCTCAACTGGTCCCAAGTCCACCCTCTCTGCTCCTCACTAGGCTTGACCCAGTCGAGGTTGCCACGGAGATCTGCTAGCGATGGCTCCTGGACACGCTGCTTAGTCTGGTTTTGGTGGTTTCTTCTGTCACGATCGTCAGGGAGAGACCAAGGTGCAGCGTTGAATGCGTACATATTTATTAATAGAATGATCACACGATCAAAACAACGGACGATAACGTGATGTCTACGGTTTAACACAAACCAAATACGAACAAGAAACCACAAACACAAAGTGAAAGACAGACAGTTAAATATGGCTCCCAATCAGAGACAACCAGCTGACACTCGTTGTCTCTGATTGGGAGTCACTCAGGCCAACATAGATAGACAACGACTAGAACCTAAACAAACTAAACACCCTGGCTCAACATACGAGAGTCCCCAGAGCCAGGGCGTGACAGGTGGTGTAGAACTAAAATAAGTTAGGAATTTGCCATAAGGGGGTAACTATATGCCATGTACGCATGTTTGTGCAGTTGTGTGTGTGTCACGATCGTCTGACGAATGAGTAGACCAAAGCGCAGCGCGTTGAGCGAACATGACTTTATTAAATCAAAGTCTGGAACAAAACAACAAAACAAGAACGATTCGTGAAGTCCTCTGCAACACTGACAGAACATGGAACAAAAACCCACAA